AGTCATCTAATAAGTTAGCAAAAATGATCAGTGGGATAAAAGTCGCAAACCTCAGGGATGTTTACAAAAATTGCGAAAGTGGCGTGGACAGGTCACGAAAGATAGCGTCATGATGTTCATACCAGACTATCAAATTGTGTAAACAATTCATTAAAACTAAACAAATGTAAGAAGCAAGTGGTTTTTTTTATAAAATATGGGCTATAATCTTCAAGGGTTTTGAAAGGATTTCCTGTTTGAGTCAAACGTATCAAGATGTTAATAAAACGTATTGAATCAAATCGTCGGGCGATAACCAAGGAGCTTATTATATTGCAACTTTTCACTATAAATTACGATCATTTTGTCAAAACATTCATTGCTCATGATGGAGATAAGTTCACATTGCCTTTCTCTTTGCTTCTTCGCCTCACAAACAAAGGAGAACATGGTTTTTATGCTGTAAATAGTAAAACAGAATCTATCACTGGGGTAAAGTGCCGTGAGCTAAAGTTTTTGATCAACATCAACATTTTTAGGGTTTATGCAGAGAATCCAGGAGGAGAATCCGTAGAAAGGATGGGTATGTAGCTTTGCCTTAATCGCTTTACAGAGTTAATAGAAAAAAAACACTAGAAAAAACCAAGAAAACGGACACTAGTAAGCGTTTTAATGGTGTAATATTGAAAATGTGTTTCCTCGGGCGTCCGCATCTTAAAATGAGGGGGAAAAAACTTCTAAGGATATAAAAAATTGCAGGATTTTCATGCGATGAATATCATCATCCTTCTCACACTTTTTCAATATAAAAACAGACTTTTTTAATGTTACATTTTTTTCGGTTTTCCTTTTTGTGTAGTTCAATAAAGACACCAAAGTTCAAGAACAACAATATAGTTCAATAACTACACGAGTTCAGAAAATGACACGAGTATCAATATATGTTTATTAGGTAATGTCAAGGCTGGAAATCTACTGGGAGTGGGAGTGCAGGGGCATCAGTTTAATTTTCAATCATTGATGCTTTTTAACTTACTTGGACTCTATGCTATTGTCAGTTACATCAAGTGACACTGTCCAGTTCCAACAATCTTCGGGGCCTGCTCGTACAGTTTTATCACCCAACTTGTACAGTACAGGCGTAACTTAGTAAAGACCCAATCGTTCCATGACTATAGCTGGTCCATTATAATAGCTTTAAAGCCCCTCTTCAAAATTTGCTGTTGAACTGCCTCTGCTAATATATTTCACATAGCCTTGCCTTTTAGCTATTGGTTTAAGATTAGAAATCAGTCTTTGGATTATCCTGATAGGCTGCTTGAAGTTACAAAAATTTATAATTCAAGGGAGACATATTTTTTTAACCATTGCTTGGGGGGGGGGGTGTTTGTGGTTTAACTCACCTATATTAACGTGAAGTTTAGGGAGTAGGTGAGGAAAACCATTATAATATCTGATTTAAGAGATGCTTAACAAATAATTAGGGATTTTAAGTGATAATATTGCCTTTATTTATTTAGTTTTGACTTTTGTATATATCATAATCTCTTTTTATCTGACTGATTTTATAATTAGGTGCTTCCTTGGTTGGGAATACTCTGTAGATGATGAGAAAAAACATGCAGTGTATGATGGAGGAGGTGCTGCTTACTGGATGTCTGTAAAGATCTAATTTCTTTTGCTTTTTCTTTTAACCTTTCTTCTTTTCCTTTCAACTCTTTCTCTTCTCTTTCAATTTCCTTTCTCCTCTCCTCAATCTCAGTGGCTGCCAGTCAGCTCCTTACTTCTATTTCTTCTTCCAGGAATAGCTGTAAAAATGAGTAACCCACCTATAATAATCTGTCTATTATTGTTCACTTATCTTACCCCTGTCTCTACGATAATAAAATATGATGAGCTCATCCTTTAAAACAAAAAGCATCCTATCTCAACAAACTGTTGAAAGCCTTGTTTCATCAAGTATGGGGAGGGGAGGGGAGGTGAGGTAGGGTAAACGCGAATAAAAATAGCCATAGGGGAATGGGGCGGGTTTCGGAGAAAAGGCCTGTTTCCATACGTGTTGATGTCATTATGGTACCATTTGGCTGAGCCCTATGTGCCTTTTCTTATTTTAAGATGCCGTTTGCTTTCCCAGAAGACCATGAGATTGGGAGTCTTGCCCTATCAGCACTTGGCTGGTGTCACCAGGGGACTTCTGTAAATTATATAAATGAGTTACAGTACTTTCTCCGTTCATTTTTGTTTGTATAAAGCTTGTTTCACTCATTTATATCACTACATGACGAAACATACAGCAGAGTCATTTCTTTGGGCTAAGACAACTTCATGGCTAAAATAGTCAAAGCTTATCCAGGCACAAGAATTTCGCCACAAAATTTATGTTTTATTCAACAAGGTAATATTTCAATTTAGAATATTTCCCAGAAAACCATGAGATTGGGAGTCTTGTCGTGAGACCGTGAGAAAAGTTAAAAAATCGTGAGACTCACAGCAGAATTGTGAGAGTTGGCAGGTCTGCCTCATATGACATTTTCTATCGAAACCTGTATGTAGTAGGAAGAAACTTTGTATCAAGTGGGCACTACAGCATTCTCTGAGGTGTCCGCTTAAATTATACAAGTTTCACTGTACATGTTTGACTCCATTTGCACTAACTATTGATATGGAACGATATGAAATTGCTTCATACATAACAGATGTACATGTTTGGAGCTGTATGTAAATCTTATTAATTTTTTTTGCTATTTATGGAAACTTAATGTAAGCTTATAGGTATACAGAGAAATATCCTTTGCTTCAACAAGATGGTACAAACTTCAAGTGTAAAAAATATATATATTCCTGGTGTAATTATTATAGATACATAGCGTTGAGGGAAGTCTTTGGTTTCCTTTTTCTTAAAACCGAAAAATAATTGACTTACATTGTGCCGGGGTAACCGAGTCGAGGTCATCTGTTTATATCAATATTAAGCGCACTCGAATGGACTGATCATTTTTACTGCTAATTTCTCCCATTAAACATCAAGGTCAATGTTTTCCACTATTGCTGACCTACCCTTCTGCCAAGTTTCGAATTTCCAATCCAAACCGATTTTCTAAAACATGCGATGTTAATATGCGATCATGCGAATTTCTGCGACAAATATTCCACTTGAAAAAATTGGCTTAAACTGTTTACGAGGTAATTATCAACAGAATATAATACAATTAACTCTCCTTCTCGGAAAGAGCTGTTGCAACTATACTTTCCCTCTATCAGAAACTACTTTAAAATTTACTTATCCCGAAAAGACAGCTTGAATAAGTGATACTATTGGCATTATTGGAGATAACAGCAAAGTAATGAATTCAATTGCATCAGTTCTCCCTCTACCTTAGCGGCTACGCTGGCACACTCGAATGGACTGATCATTTTTTCTGCTAGTTTATCTCAATTAACTTCAGAGACAATGCTTCCCAATAGAAGTAGCCCACCTTTATGCCAAGTTTCGATGTTCAACACCTCACCGATTTCGAGAAAATGCGATATCACTGAGCGAACATGCAAACTTTTGCGGCACGTTATTGCACTCGAGGAAATTGACCGAAACTGTTTACAGCTCTGTTACGCGTTATTTTTCGGATTAATACACATTTCACTCACCTTCTCGGAAAGAGATGTTGGAACTGCACTATCCTACCGTGACAAAAACCATTTCGGAGCGTCAATATCCAGGAAAACCAACTTTAAAAGTAGCATTTGGAAATGGCAACGGCGCCATTTTCGAAAACTCCTCGAAGTTGCGCGCTTCTCTCTTCGTGACGTCACGATGGCCAGGATCGTCAGGACAAACAAACTACCAAGTTCACCACCCC